TTATGGCATGTATGGATATTAAGGGCATGTATTCAAAACATCGGAGGGCATTTTGAGTAATGTAAATAAAATTGTATTCTAAATTAAATAACCTTTCATCTCATATAATTTCTGTATAATTATCAAAAAGTGTATCATTAATTTTATAAAAAGTTTTTAACTGAACTTATTTTATTCTTTTAAATTCTTTGAAATCGGTTTTTACTTTTTATTAAAAGTTAAATTATCCGCCATTTGTACTACCTTGTGCATGAAAATATTTACATATAATATATGAAAAAGTCACATTGAATACTGAAAAAGACCATTCCATCTTATATTGTGGGTGGTTAACTCTAATAGGAAGGAAATCGAGTGTGAAATCACTTGGCAGCGCATCAATCTACTCAGAGCTCAAAAATTAAGATTGACGCAACGAGTTTGGGGAATGCTCGTTGAGTTTTATTTATTAGTGCTGTTCAAAAAAAATCCTGTTAATTGATTAAACTCGAGAAATCATGCGTAAATTATGCATGTCAGTTTTGTTTTGAGTTTCCTTTTGATACACTAGGTTACGGTGTAGTAGCGGTGTAAGAATATCCACGTGTGTCGTAAGAGGCAATATAGAAAAACAAACTAGAAGATAGGTAGCAAGGTAGAAGGACCTTACTTATATTCTTTATCTTATATATATATAATAGCCTGCAACGCTATTATAGTTAAATATATGAGTAGCAACAAGTATATTACTTTAAGCAATAAAACAAAACTACTTATAAACATAAAGTAACAACTTGTACTCTAACAAGAAATGAAACGCTTTGATTAAAATGGTAAATCTGGATGATTGCGGTTAACAAGTAAAGCATTGTTTTAGATTGGTTTTTAATTAAATAAGGATGGGCAACATACCGCCGAGACTGTCCTACTGCATTTATAATTAAGTTCCCAGGGAAACAAGTTATTGTTCTAATAGTTTTCTGCGTTGTGAACTAAAATTGTTACGAAGTGACCACCGCGTAGTTTAAAATTTAATATGATGAATATCTGATCCTAGGTTTATATCTTTATGTTGCTATCAGCTAGGTGAAGTCATTATTTACAACTATGCAAACATTAAAGTTTTTGAAAGTCCACTGCTGCCCAAGGTGACCAACATCGTCCTTCTATCCTTAGTACTCCTAGAAATTGATGTAGGGCTACTTCAAAAGTAAGTTCTAATAAGAAAAAGAATAAGAAAAACAGCCAAACGAATTGATAAAAGTGTTTTTACAGAAAGCATACGACGGCTTTCCAAGTACAGTACTAGAGTACGAAACCTATTGGACTGCAGAAAGAGGGATATATATATATATATATATATATATATATATATATATATATATAAGAGAGAGAGAGAGAGAGAGAGCAAAAATACACCACTTAACTTCGATTTGCCGACGGTATTATAGGCACTATGTCAAAATAGCATGAAAGGCCTGAGCACTGTGCTTAATGAGCCATACCTGACAACGGATATAATCTCAAAATGAACATGAAGAGGATAAAGGTCATATGTTACTTCTCGTTCATGTAATATACATTCTGGTAGTTGTTGAGAGCGCTATTCTCGAAGTTATTGACAAGTATATTTAACTAGGACTTTAACTTTGACTAGGACAAGAAAATTAACCAACTAGGTAACTCCAACTTCGATCTAGAGGTCAATCAACAGATCCACTCGACTTGGAAACGTTCAAGAGATTACGACATACCACTTCGTCAAGTGTAACTCAAAACTAAAAAAAATTAAGACTGTACAACCAGTGCGTGTTGCCAATGATGTCATATAAATCTGGAAGTGGTTTTTCACTGCTGGCCGTACGAGGAAGCTCCAGGTCACTCAGCAAGTTATAGGGAGGGTCATGCTCACAGTTTTTGTCTGTTGTAAACTTCGTATATTTATAGTATTATAGTAGTAGAACCAGAGTACCTAAAATAGACAAACGAATTAGTAAGCTGAAGTGGCAATAGGCCTACCATACAACTCGAGGAGCCGACAACAGACGGGGAAGAACGGTGATCAAATAGAATCATACCTGTAAGTCAAGTGTAGGACGACCCACTAGTAGATGGGGTAACGACCTGGTTAGAGAAAGTCAATGAATAAAGGTGGTTTAGTACCGTGCTGTAGCGTTTCATGGAGAAGTCGTATGTCGATGATGATGATGAAACGATAATTAACCTCGGAGGTATCTATTTCTTGTAGATATGTATATATTTCTCTTTTTCTTGAAAGAGGTTACGAATACATAGTAGGTAAAAATCCAACCTTAGGCGTATTTTGGCAACATTGATTCAACTTGACTTCATATCGCCGATATTTTTACTAGTATCAAAAGTTAAAAAAAAATCTTTATTCTAAAGACACAAAACTGCTCATCATGTTGTCATAACAACGGCAGAAGTTTAGAATTGGTCAATAAATAAACAGAAACATCTATAAACTCTGCATCTAATAATAAATGTGGTTGATATCACGGGCATCACGGGCATTTTACTAGCAATGGAAAGTTCGAAGTTTACAATTCTTGATGTTTTCAAAATTTATGTATATAAATTTTTTGAGGATCTAATAAAGTAAGTTCTGATGCTTAGCACAGACATAATATCTGTTTGGTTAATCGACCATATTCTGATAGGCTTTTTATGGTTAGGAAGAGTCATTTGCGCTACGCTCACGCGTTTTGGTCTCCAGATCATGTCCCCGAAATCATTATTATCATCATCATTTGCCTGTTACTAGCCTACGCCTACGAAAAATCACCTACTGAACATAAGTCTTTCCAAAGAATACAAGTCCCGATGCTTATCACAGACCTCCCGCATGTTGTTCTACTTATTATCATCAACAAAGTTCTTCCCATACATTACCTTATAGTAGAAAGACGCTACCGCTCTTCAACTGTTTCATTTCCTTCTATTGGTACTTATGAAGCCTAGAGAACGATATGGGATAGTGGATTCTTTTAAAAATCACCACACGGTGAGCAGAGTCCTCGAAATATGTATTTTTAAAAAACAATTTGTTAACTGCAATTTTAAGTAACGATTTTACCACGTGCCCGGCGGTGAAGAACAACAGAAATAAGAAAAAAATAAATATATTTCGAAGACACGCGAAGTTCGCCGACCTGCATTGAGGCAGCGCGGCGGATACTTCCTGTCCTAAAACCCTCTCAGAAATCAGAGAAGGCCTGTGCCCAGCAGTGGGACGTATATAGGCTGTAACTTTTTAACTTTTATATACGGGTTTTCTCATAATGTTTTCTTTCACCATAGAATACGTGGTAAATCACCACTTAAAATTTCAATTCTCAATTTCATTAGAATGTTTGCTGAATTTTGACCTGTTTTAATGAATGGTAAACGCTTTTCCCCTGGGTTGCTAGAAGCTGGTGATCTTAAAATAATGAGTAATTGTGGAAATTTAACAACAAATATATGAAAACATTTATCCAGGTATTTGACGGTAAGAGAAAACACTGTAGAAGTTGAAAACAAATTGAAACATTTCCGGGAAATTCAAAACATTTTGAGGACATTACAGAATCATTGCCATGAGGGCAATACAAGTGTACACTGCTGATGGTAGACAGTCTTGAAATGTAGACCGAGGCCATCTTTTTATTATTTTTAAAACTTAATACTTAGATCGTTGTTGCATCTACGATATCTAATAGTAGTTGTTCAATATATCATTTTCAGGTGAAAGGAACTTGGTTTTTTAACAGTGACCTTAAGCTCTCATACACTGATAATATAACTATCAATACTATGATTGAGCAAGACTGGAAAATGACCAATGACCTTTAGTTACTAAATAGAGAAGTTGCATCTTTTGTGTTTTTTTAAGTTTACTAAAAATTATTAACAAAAATTAAAAAAAAAATTAAGAACTGATTTTTCACGTAATTTTACAATTAAAATGGTTTTCTTAAAATGGGAATTCAAACGCCAGTGACGTCATTATATCGCTTTAGTAACGTCACCGATGGTAAAATGACATAAAACTCATGTTACCGTTGTCAAAATAAAAAGAAATTGTTATTTCATAATACAGGTTATATAATATGTTTTGTTATACTTAACACATGGTGATCCGAATATAGAAAATACAAAAGTATAGCTTATGATTCCGATTGGCTCACAGCCTCAACGGATATAATGACGTCACTACCAATCACAAGTCGATTTTTCATTTTAAAATCAAACTATTTTACATTAATAACTAGCGATCTGCTCCGACTTCACACTGGTGATATCTGTATTCTACAAAAACGCCACCTACCGGGTACAATTATGCCTATAATTTTCGCGGAAGTGCAAGCAATATGTATACAAAGTTTAACGCAGTCTGCTGAAATGTATGGCGGCGCATAAAAAACGAAGAAACAAATATTAATTTTTATAGATTGCTAGAAAATGGAACTGTTAATAAAAATATTTAAATATACTTTAAGTGAATTATTCTTCCATTTATATATGAATTTCTGGCAAAAATTAATGCAACGTTTCTATTGTTTATTAAGAACAATAGAGTTTTAGAACTTCCTTTCAAAAGTTCGTTTTTTTATTAATTGGAATCTATCTATTGTTACAGATTGCATCAAAGTAGTAGAAAAAGCTGCCAAAGAGGAAATAAAGCTCCAAATGGAAGTGTAGACGTCGAGAAAAATGTGAAACTCTAACCCCATGATCTCCCGTACTGCCAAACGCACATGATTTCAATAGCCAACTTTACGCACACATCGACGAATACGCACGCACCGATCCCCTACTACCATAATCAAATACCAAACTACACATACAAAAATGAAACGCACAACGAGACATACGCGAAAACATCGGAGAACTTATTCGACACGAGATTCGAGTTCCAATCGAACTCGACATTCGAAGACTCGAATTCGTCATTCGAGATGTCGAATGACAACTTTACAGAGTACGCTGAAATACCATATTACATAAAGGCGACGTCGATGACATTTTGTATAGTGATAATGTGTTTGGGTGTGATAGGCAACGTGATGGTGCCTATTGTAATTTTGAAAACAAAGGATATGAGGAACTCCACGAATATATTTCTAGTGAACCTAAGCATTGCTGATTTAATGGTGTTGTTGGTCTGCACGCCCACTGTCCTCGTGGAGGTGAACTCTAAGCCGGAAACTTGGGTGCTAGGGAAGGAATTATGTGAGTACAGCTATTAATTGATTTTGCTTTATTTAAGAAAAATAATATACAGCGTAATGTACTATGTATAGCTAATTGAACATTGGATTATTATATAAAGCCTATTATTTTTCCACAAAAATATTTAAAAAACATTTGAATAGTCATAAAAAATCTATTGTGGTCTTACTTTACACCTTGTTTACAACAAGACAATTATAGTACTTAAAGACAAATATTTTAGCGTTAAATATAATATCTGAGCTGAGTATTTATTTATCTATGTCAATTGTTTCTTAGCATTGACGTCCTATCATGTGTAGAAATTGTAAAAAAAAAATTATCTTCTTTTTGATCTATAAAATCTTGGATATTATAAAGAACATCTGAAATAGAATGTATTTTCGGATGTAGGAGAGTACCGGTTCGTGCGTACATTTATGTGGGCATGTTCTTATATTTATTTCGGGTATCATAAACTCTTACTCTTTTATTATAAAATGGAATGTACATATAATATAATACTAAGTCGTGGTTACTCAGAAGAGTGGTTTTATTATTAAATTTTACGTCCCTTTAGCAATAAAAATATACGTGGTAGAGCCATGCTGCAGTTATATTAGTAGTGCAGTTGTAGCACGAATGGGTCGGCTCGACCGGGGCAGGCCACGCTCTCACAGAATACCAGCGTAAAATAGTAGCTTAATGCTGCTGTGTTTCGTATGATGAGTGTAGAGAACCGGCGACCCTTTTTACTGGAAACGAGGCATTTGATCTTGGTCCTCATGGGTGACAACGCATCTGCATTTTGATTCGTAATCGAAGATAGATGTAGATGTCTATGGGCCACAGCGACCACTTACCATCAGGTGGACTGTGTGCTCGTTTGTCACCCTATCCTATAAAAAATCCGAATATAATCCTCATAAATTTTACTGAAACGTGTATGGCGATTAGTTAGCTGAAGTGGCAATGGGCCGGCCATATAGCTCGAGGAACCGATAACCGATTGGGAAGAAAGGTTCTCGAGTGGCAGCCCCGTACCGGTAGGTGCAGTGTAGGGCGACCCGCCACAAGATAGATTGACGACCTGGTAAGACATGCAGGAAGTTGATGGATGCAGGTGGCTCAGGACCGTGTTTTGTGGCATTACTTGGGGGAGGCCTATGTTCAGCAGTGGACTTGTGAGGGACTGTAATGATGATGATGATGATGATGTGTATGGCGATGTTAGAATTAGAACGGTGTAGTGGAAGTGTAAGAATATGTACTACCTCATAACATCACTGGGGTGTCGTAAGAGGCGATAGTAGGAAATTACACCAGGAGGTAGACAGAAGCATCTTCCTGATAACAACTAAATACTAAATAAAAATTATTATTAGAATTAGCCCGTTGACTGAAGAATTCAATGAAAACAAATTACTTAAAAGTAAACAAAGACTATATTTATAAAAATCAATTGCCGTGCGTTATTGTTCATAAAAGATAGCTTGATCTCTGCGACAGCTGTCAGTAAAATCACGCCTATGAAGTCCTGAATTTCTTAGTAGTACAGACAGTACGACCTGGTAAGATATGCAGGAAGTCGATGGATGCAGGTGGCTCAGGACCGTGCTTTGTGGCATTACTTGGGGGAGGCCTATGTTCAGCAGTGGACTTGTGAAGGGCTGTAATGATGATGATGGCAGAAAGTACCTGTAAATGTCATACTTTATGGGCATGCCGACCTAATTAGTGCATGCTCAGTATGAAATTGACAGGTACTGTCTGTACTACTAAGAAATTCAGGACTTCATAGGCGTGATTTTTACTGACAGCTGTCGCAGAGATCAAGCTATATTTTATGAATTATAGGTTTGATTACCAAATCTAAGCACTTAGTGAATGAAAACATCGCAAGGAAAAGGTATATTATGTAAATTAAATACACTGTATGTGGGCCTCTTAGTCTCCTTTCTTGTTCCGTAACTTAACTTTTATATTGATTTAAGAAATTTTGTGTGTATTATCATTTTCTTTAAGAGCACGTAAAATGCAAAAAAAATCATATTTCAAAAATTTCGTGTCACGATGTTCGTTCACGCTAATCTCCGATACCGCTCAACCTGAGAGTTCGGATAGTTTTTGTCCCTCCATATTTTTTATTGCAAATATAAAGGATTTTTATAAGAGAGAGGGTGACAGATCGTCAGAAGGGGCAGAGCAACGTTTACTTGGTCAGTTTGTGGTATATATTTTTTATTCTATTCGAAAACAAAGCAAGCATTTAGTTCGAATCCGACTAAGATTGACGACCGTGTACTTCGCAGAGTCAAAATGATATTTGCTCCACGATTATTTTAATTGAATGAAAAACTTTCTGAGATAGAGCTCACATCCAGTTGTTAGTGATTCCGTGAATTGGAAGCCTATTGAGAACAGTACTGAAATAGCTGAAAAGCAAAAGTTGCTTTGTTTTTATTTTTATTTCGAGAAAATATGCAGTGACAAACACCCGTAAGGATGAATTACATACATTAAATATTTGTTTTGACAACACTTAAAAAGAATTTCAACTGACTAGAGTATCAAACACACAATTGCGTATCTTTTAACAATTGCCGAAAACTTACCACAACGTGCAAGATGTATAATGAAGGTAAAACTGATATCCTAGTCTGAGAGTTTTACAGTCGTCACTTTTGAATGGATATATGAAATATATTCCGCAATGCTCCGTTCTCTGATAAGCAGAGTCACGTGTACATGCTGCTGTGTTTCGTATGGTGAGTGCAGAGAACCGGAAACCCTTTGTACAGGAAACGAGTCATTCCATCTTAGTCCTCAGGGGTGACAACGCATAGCATGTTGGTTCTCAATTGAGTATCAATGTAGATGTCTATGGGTCAAAGCATTCATTTACCATCAGGTGGACTGTGTGCTCGTTTGTCAACCTTATTCTATAAAAAAACGTGTATGTAATTATAATTTAAGGCATGGTAATGCTTGAAGCATTACCATTTCGTAAACCTTTTCGTATAAAATGTATCACAGCGGTGTGTCGTGAATTACACTCAAGCGGCGCGGTACAGGCATGCCCCTTTTATCCGTTCCACTCCTGCGCCGCGCCTGTACCGTGCCTTCGCCTTATGCCGCTTCTGTATAATTTGCACCTTAAGGTTTACTGACACACACTTCCGTCACGTCACCGTCAAATCACCAATCGCTCACGTCAAGAAATATAGTTTAGTAGTAGTCGTAGTACATCGGCTCCACACTTCAGTTATGTCACTAATGTTAACGGCATGTCAAATGTGACATGTATTTACATATACCACGTCACGTCCCTAAAGTCGACTTAACTGATAGGTGAACCTTTATTGTGGTGGATTGTTGATTTTTTTATAAAATAAAAGTGTGTAAGAGGATGCTGAGGTACATAGACATCTACATCCCACGCCGTTACAAAAACAGCTGCGTCCGGGTTCACTAAAACCGCAGCCGCAATGGCTAAGATTCAACCTTGTTTCAATTACTTAACAATCACATTCCTTTAACATCATGAAATAACCTATGCGTTTTACGTGATGCAGCGGTGTACAGCGGCATACCATTGAATGCTGTGAAGTGTGACAATATTCCGGAGATTGCGTGAAGTACAGCAACATGCAGTGGTATCACGCGTCACGTTTCGGTCTATTCGTGTTGAAATAAAGGAATGTCAGTGTTAAGCTTATTAAAATAACCTCAAAAATCTTTTTTCCACGAAAATAATCCTTTGACTCGCCGTGCCATGCAGTGCCGTCTGTGAACGCAGGCCTTTACTTTTACACATATGACGCCCTTACCTTTTCACTTGCTTGTAAATTAAATCAACAGCTACAATCGTAGTTTATTTTACTTCAAACTTCTTGTGTTTATGTTTATATGTACCTTCATGTACGAGGGCGTTTTATTTCTTTTGTTCGTACACCGTAAATATACAATCTACTTTCTTTATACTTTCGATTCGGCACGTTGTTTGGATCTTATTACTCCTGGTTCCGTTAACACATGTAAGATGGATGCGGTAACATAGTACATTGAGCTTATTTCTCGGGTTGTTTTTTTAAATTAATTTCATTCGCACTATTTAAGACTGTATAAAATCATAGAAAAGCAATCACGTCGTTAATGCCTATTGACTAGGAGTCCTACCAGTGTATGAGTCTTAGTGGCACTACAGTAGTGAGCCCGGCCATAATGCCACAAACCATACCATAAACATGCTACACACATACATATATTATATACATACATACATATATACCTTTTTTATCGTAAGGTTGTAACTGAAAATCAGAGCTAAGATGGTATACATTTTAGCATAATATCTTGAATCCTATTTGCACTTTTTTTAAGATTCATTTTTCCTTGTTTGCATATAATTAAGTAATAAGCTTATAAGTTATACCTACTTAATAAAATGCTATAATGATTTGCTAGGGCCCACATTATTTTTATTAAAAAATAGCCAAATAAAGATTCCTTTTTTTCTTCTTAAATTTGAGATCTGCATTATGTCGTTATTAAAATTGAATTTTTTTTTATTTGACGAGATAATTTGTATTCAAATTACAGACCATAAAAATCAACTTAAGACATAACACGTGACCATTCTCTGTAAATTTCCTGTATTGGATGCTCCGTGTGAATTATTCACAACCGACGGAACATATTTCTTCAACCAGAATAAGCGGTGTAAGTGGGCGACGCATAAATTACACAAATACAGGAAGTAAAAGTAATTAATGGAATGTAATATACTTTTGGTAATTGTACTCGGAGTTTAGGTCAGTCATAAAAATAGACAGTATATGCAACTGCTTGCGAGAAAAAATAGCATAAAATATTTTATTACGACATGAAGACGAAACAAGTCTGTTGTAAGGATAACTTAAATTGTAAATTTTAAAAACCCCGAAACAAAAGGATCTGATGATCTTCAAATGGCTGAAGAGATTTTCCTGAAATATAGCTAACAACACTTTCTATTAAGA